CGTGTCCTCTTTTGGAAGGCCAAACAAAGTAGTTTCGCTTTTACAACGAAACACATGGCGGGCTTGAGTGAGCGGCGGAGGGCGGGCTTAAGAATGGCACGGCCGGTGGGCTTGCGGCAACCACATGTGACGACCCCGGGCTGGACTCCGCCTCATCCACGGTGAAAGCCGATCCGGCGATCCACAGCGCGAAGTTGATGTATTTCCTCAGCGACCAGCATGGATCAGCTCCAGGCATGACGAAGCGATATCGTCCTCTTTTGGAAGGCCAAACAAAGTAGTTTCGCTTTCACAACGAAACATAGGGCCTTCACTACATGGCAGCGGCGGCAACAATACTACAGTGAGAATCAAAGTTACACCTTCTTTCTTTGCGTGAACATTTGGGCAGCGTTATGCAAATCTTCCCACATCGTGACGTAGATATGTGGGGGCGTGTTAGAATTAGACGTTTTAGGTAGGTGTGGCTGACTCTTAACTTTTATAAAGAATATCTCTTTGGATTTAAGACTTTAGTCTTTGCAACTTTACAGATCTTCTTTATGCACCAAGAGCTTGTAACACTCCAAACAGAAATTTAAAATTGAAATCGCATCATTTGACCCCTTTAATTTTGTCTGTAGATTTCATCTTTTTTTGCCGAGTCTTTACCCAGTGTTGGTGGCCAGATCATTTTCCCAACTGGTTATTGTAAAAGAGTTGCAGAGTAAGTCTCCTTGTCATTTTTTATTGAGTGTCTTTACTCTTTATTCAGGAATTAAGCGACACGCAGCATTGTATTTTTCCCCTCAGATACGTTCGTGAAGCAGGAGGAGTTTATGTGGCAGATGAGATTCAGACAGGCTTCGGTCGTGTTGGTAGTCATTTCTGGGCTTTTCAGCTTCAAGGTGAAGACTTCTGCCCTGACATTGTGACTATGGGCAAACCAATAGGCAATGGTCATCCTATTGCGTGTGTGGCTACTACAGAGGAAATAGCCGCTGCTTTTACAGCCAATGGTGTGGAGTACTTCAACACAGTGAGAACCATAATGCTTCTGTGATAATATATGTAGCTTGTACATCTTTTGAAGAGTTTAAGTAAATATTTAACCTTTTTGTCCCATGCAGTTTGGTGGTAACCCAGTATCCTGTGCCATTGGTCTGGCAGTGTTGGATGTTATAGAGAAAGAAGACCTCAGAGGCAATGCTGTGCGTGTCGGAGGTCATCTTAAACAGCTGCTCCTTCAACTTCAGACTAAACATCCACTCATCGGAGATGTGCGGTAAGTTCTGAAAATCAATCTTTATTGAGATCTTGTAAAATACTATTGTACCATCATGCTGTAATCTCAAAGAAGAACATTAGCAGACATATCTTCTGTTCTTTTTTGCAGTGGTGTTGGACTGTTTATAGGTATGGAGCTAGTTAAAGACAGAGCATCCAGAAAACCAGCAACAGAAGAAGCAGCACATCTTGTACGAAGGTACTGACCATTTCTGTTCTTTCTCAACTAGCTACAACTACCTGATAACCAACTGCCCATTTTGATTTGTTCAGGCTGAAAGAGGAACGTATAGTTATGAGCACTGATGGACCGTGGGACAGTGTCATCAAATTCAAACCTCCAATGTGCTTCAGTATTGAGGATGCTGAGAGAGTCTGTACATGCATTGACCAAATTCTCAGAGGTTGTTAGCAAGTTAACAGTTAATTCAGCATGTGGAAACTGATTAATCTGACTTATTTTCATTTTGTTTAAAATAATAATTAAGTGAGAAATTGACAGTTTGTCTTTTGAACTTACAGAACTGGAGCATACCCATCAAAAAGAGGACTGCAGAAGTTGAGGTTTAAAAACATGAAAATAATTTTCAATGTAGTGCATAGAGCAAACATTCTTAAATGAATTTTAATAAATAATTTTATTGTGATTTGCATTCTTGAATATATATCTGTTTATATTCAGAATTCAGTTATAAATACTTACAACAAAAAGGTGAATAAATTCACTCATGCTACAAATCTGACAGAATATTTTCAAAATAAAACTTGGATAAACATATATTAATTAACATGATATCACACCTCTACATACAGTTTTCCAGGATGTGGTGTAAACAAATTTTAAGATTAGGATTTTAAGGTTTTAATATGCTTTCATACTTTACAGCCATACAACAATATAAATCACTTTAAACCTGATTGTACACATACTCCAGTCTCCATAATCTTTATATTACATTTGCACTCAAATTGTTTTTTATTACATTTGTACTCAAAAGTGTTTTGGTTGCATTAAATAATGACACCGATTCTATAATAAATGTGGTTACTGACAAGAAAAGCATGTTTACCCTTTTGTCAATATTTCTGCAAGATATACAATAATCTTTATAACTGTTTACAAAGTACTTTAAATGATATTTTTTAGCCACATAGACTGTGTTTGTGATCTCTGGCAGAGAGGAGGGTTTACTGGTATGCAGTTTTATTTTAAATTAAAAAAATAATCATCATTTTACAGTAAATGTTAAATTAATAAATTAACAAAATGTTTTACCTGACTATATTAATTCATACAAAATCATCCTGTGAAGCATCTGGAACCTGAAAGACAATATTTAAATCTTAAAAATAATCCTGAAATTACAAAATGCATGTATGTGTGTGAGCAAGTCTCAATTTGCTACTGCAAAGATTGAGTCCTGAACTTACAGGCTGTCTGGCATTTCTCAGTTTCTCATATCCCAGTCCCTCCATGACTAGCAGACTGAGAGGAGTTCCTCCCTCTTTTATCAACCTCACCACTTCATCAAAATACTCTTCCTCCACATTCTGTCCATTCACCTCTACAACCACATCTCTCTCACACAACCCTGCTCTCTCTCCTGCACTCCCCATCATCACCTACAGACCAGAAGGAGAATTACATGTGTAAGTTTTTCCAGACATGGAAAAGCATTTTTAAATCAATAGTCTTGTTATTTTTTCTGTTAATTCTAAAATTGTATATCTTTTAAAAATGCAGAGATAAATATATTATTAATATTCCTATTTTCATCTTATATTTGTATTTAAAAAAACAAGTTATTTACCCAAAAAATATAAGCACTGTGATGCTATCAAAATATTATTCCGTTTGAGTATACCAACCCAGCATCAGTTAACCAATGGCATAAGTTTAGGGACAGGACTTTTATTTGTACAACCAATGGCAGATGAGGGCGTGTTCAGGGAGACTTGTGTGAAAACAGTCATTTTTGCAATAGAGTGCTGAAGGGATGTTCTTGTAGGCTAAAATCCAGAAGCAAGTTAGCATTTTGGCACTTCTGCTTCTGTTTTTTAATGGGTTTTTGTTTAAATGCCAAAAATAAAACGTGGTTAACAGATTTTAAATAGGACTGTCAGAGACATTAAACGTCATCCTGCCAAACAGGAGAAGTCATCTACATACTAGTCAGCTTTTACAGCCTTGTTGTTTTTATAATCACCCTCTTGCAAATTATTTTCACCTGAAGTTTCAGAGAAAATTTATTTTAAATAAAGACAGAAAGAGCAGTCGAAAACGCAATGGTTGTGACACTGACGTCATGTGACCATGTTTGTTTATAACCTACATTTACCTTTTTAATTCTGGTGTGATTGTATTCAGGCTTCAAAATTCCTAAAAGTTGTGTTAATTCGTGAAGATATTCAAGATAAACGTGTTGGAATTATAGACTTGTTGGTCACAGAGATTATTTTCTGCAATAATCCAAAAGCCAATGGAAAAATCCAATCTAATTTTGTAGAAGGAACCTGGATGATTCTAACTTCTGGGGTGACCTACAAAAATATGTTATCACTGCTGTACTCTATTCCATTTAAATGTACATTTAAAGCATTTAGCAGATGCTTTTTAAACATAAATGCTTACAGTACCTGACCGATATACGTCCCGGGCTTATTCTGAACACAACCTAGGTTGAAGCCAAATCCCGCACCCTCCTTGTGAAGCACACAAAGTCGAGGATGCAGTGGATTTTGGTGTCCCTCTTGATGAGGCGGAGGAGGATTAGGAAACTGTTCCCTTTTTGGAGTATGGTCTTCATAGAACAGCAATGGAGAAATGCCCAGCTGAAGTGGATCAAATAACAGACACTCTGTCAGTGATAAATCCAAGCAAATACATCAAGAATAGTGATTCCCTGTTATCTAGGTCACAGCGACCCCACCCATTCCCAGGGGTCCAATGTCTACTCCAAACAGTAGATTCATTTCATTTTAAAAACACCTGTTTTGGTGTGTACTATAAGAATTAGGAGCTTGAGATTAGGCCCTTGGTTAGCCCTCAGGGTCAAATGTCTTCAGTCAGAGGAAAAATATGTTGATTTAGCAGCTGTTCGCAAGCTGAATGTTATCGCTCCTCTTTTCTATATGAGCATTTGCGTGTGAAAGTGTGTGCATGCAAGCACCTGTGTGTAATAGTCTCTGCCAGGGACGGAGATGGTGGTTAGGGTGACCTGCTGGCCGCTTTGCCGTATTTTGCTGACGACGGCCTCATGCTCTGCATCCTCCACCTGCTCCCCGTTTACCGCTAGCACAAGCTCTCCGTCCTCCATTCCTGCAGTCTCAGCTGGGCTGCAGGGGTCGATCTCTCGTAATACATGAGCTATAGAGCGAACATATCACAAAGTGATGGCTGCTAAAATGTCGACAGTGTTTTCTAATTAGTGGCACATCTAAAAGCATTTACAAAAATGCATGATGCCATGGACCCCCATATATGATAATCCCTTTGCGAGGGACACTCTTCCTAAAATGTAGGCAGCTATATATTTTGTATTTTATATTATTTTTTAATTTATATTTTAAATAAAGACCCATTTATATTTTATAAAAAGACCTATTTATACTATGAAAAATATTTATACGGTATATAAATAAAACATTAAATGTGTAAAATATTTTCTGAAAATGTATTCTACATACCATTGAAGTAATAAGAGAAACATAAAAGCTATCAATAGAATGGTAATCACGTGATTAGTACCAACCAGTCTTTGTAATGATATTTCACTATTATTTTATATAAATATTAATTAAATATATATTATTAATTAGTCCTTAAATTATTTAATACTGTATATTTTATTTAACATTTATTATTACATTTATATTTAACAATAATATTAAATGCTTATTATACCATTTATATTGTTCATTTTTATTTATACTAAATAAAACATATTATATATTTAAAATATTATATTATATTTTTATTTTATATTGAATATTGAATACTTATTTATATTTAACACAGTTTTCTCAGAGAAACCCCTGCACTAAAGAACGATATTATTTTTATGCTATTATAGTTTTAGTTTATAATATTTTGAAATAGCTTTTATTTTTATATTCTAGTTTTCCTTTTTTTCCCTTCTTTTTTGATTTTAGATTTTTTATTTTATGATATTTATTTGTGTTAAATGTTTTTTGTAATTTTTAGTAGTTTTATTTTTAATATTACTGTTTAAGCTACATTTATTTATTTATTTATTTTGGTTTTAGTTTTAGTTCAGGTTAATTTTTTATTTATTTCCAGTTAAAGGGATAGTTCACCCAAAAATGAAAATTTGATGTTTATCTGCTTACCCCCAGGGCATCCAAGATGTACTTTGTTTCTTCAGTAGAACACAAACGAAGATTTTTAACAAAAACCGTTGCAGTCTGTCAGTCTTATAATGGAGGTGAATGGGAATCACGGTTAAAACATACAATAAAACAAACAAAAAAACATTGACACTCTATCTACAATCTCAGTTAGGAGTGTCAGTGGTCCACTTGAGAGATAGGTGGCGGTAATGCACTTATAAGACTGCGATCATATAAAACTGAAAAGCAAGAAGAAGAAGACGCGTCACGCTGTTGAGGTAGAAGAAGACGCAAACACGTTCAGGACGCACTGAGGACAGTTCGGACATTGCAGTAAATCAGAGGTAAAAAACAATATAAATACTGTTCAGTTTCTTGCACAGAACTATCTTGCAAGCTTTTTTGACTCTCAAAGCCGTGATTCCCATTCACTTCCATTATATGATTGACAGACTGAGGTGGCGGTAATGCACTTATAAGACTGCGATCGCAGTAAAGCAAGAAGAAGAAGAAGAAGACGGGCCTGCTGTTGAGAACACGCTCAGCACAGTTCGAACAGTTTGGACATTGTGTGAATCAGAGGTAAAAAACTATACAAATACTGTTCAGTTTCTTGGACAGACCGACCGTTTTGTGTCTTTACACATCAATGTATCGTCACGAGCCGCAGGGTTTAATTTGGTTTTGTTTGTGTATGTTGCTTTTTAGTTTTATTGTATGTTTTAGCCGTGATTCGTGAATTATAAGACTGACAGACCCCAATGGTTTGTGTTAAAAAATCTTCGTTTGTGTTCTACTGAAGAAACAAAGTCACCTACATCTTGGATGCCCTGGGGGTAAGCAGATAAACATCAAATTTTCATTTTTGGGTGAACTTAATTTAATGTTACAATTTAAACTTATTTCAGTTAGTTGCCAAGACAGCATCTCATCTAATACAGACAGTTTTCCATCTAATATTTATTATAAATTAGCTTTCAATGAACAATTTTTTTTTAATAGTTTTAATTTTAGATAATAATAATAATAATAACACTGGTAAAGAATCAGCGATTTCTCACCAATACGTCCAGATCGTAACTTCTCTTGCCTTAGGAGGAACCCGTATCCTTGTGGTCCTTGAGTCAGGTCTAGTGTTTTTGGTCTGTAGGGTAGATTATGCGTTTTGGCAAAAGCAGGAATTATGGGTATCCCCATGCGATTATAACAAACTTCACTCCTGCTGTCAATTACCAAGACAGTCACATGGTCTTCACATTTCTTCACCTGATGGAACAAAGTGAAATCTAGTCTTTCTAATGTCCCAAAAACAGAAAGCATCAGAGATTAAAATATAAGGTATTAGATACTATACAAGTGTGCTTACCATTTTTGACAGTGCTGCATAACTAAGTGCTGAAATCATAGCTCCATTGATCCAGATCAGCCTGTCTCCATTCTGGACTCCTGCTCTCTCAGCTGGACCATCAGTCACTGGGCTGAGACGATAACGACCTCGCTCACCTACTCTCACACAGTATTGAATAAAATGAACTAGAACTGTCCACAATGATCCATGTATTCATACATTATGATAAAACGTTCTCTGAAGTGAATCAACTACTTTTTTAACATCTCTTATAAGGGAGAAGTTTCTCATTTAGTGTAATTGGACATCATAAAACCTGTGGGTGCAT